AGACAGTCAGTATGGCTTCAGATCAGGTAGATCTACTGCACAAGCTCTAATGGAATTGGTTGAAGACATATCCACATCGCTTGATCAGAAAAAATATGTTCTGGGAATTTTTATTGATTTGAAGAAAGCCTTTGATACAGTCGATCACAAAATACTTTTATCAAAAATGGAGAAGTATGGTATAAGGGAGACAGCTCTCAATTGGCTAAAAAGTTATTTGAGTAACAGAGCTCAGTATGTGCAGTTGGGCTATCACAAGTCTAGCTGTCTCGAAGTTCACTGTGGAGTTCCGCAAGGGTCGGTACTTGGCCCAAAGTTATTTCTGTTATATATAAACGATATTTACACAACTTCAAAATTATTTAAATTTATTATGTTTGCTGATGATACAAATATTTTGTGTTCAGCAGAAGATATACAGCAACTTATACTACAGGTCCAGAATGAATTGAGTGAGCTTAAGAATTGGTTTGATAAAAACAAACTGTCGTTAAATGTCAGCAAAACAAAGTTTATGTTATTTGGAAATAAAAGAAGTAGTAAAGAAATCTATTTGACTGTTAATGAAATAGCCATTGAAAGAGTGTATGAAATTAAGTTTTTGGGGATATTGATTGATCATAAGCTCTGTTGGAAGCCATACATACAATATGTGTGTTCTAAATTAGCCAGAAGCATTGGAATAATAAATAAAACAAGATATTCTCTACCACAGAAAGCACTACACACACTTTATTGTACTATGATTCTACCATACTTATCATATTGTGTCGAAGTATGGGGCAATACTTATAAATCTAATTTATTAAAGATTTGTGTTCTCCAAAAAAGAGTGGTAAGGATAATTATAAATTCTGGATATAGAGATCATACAACTCCATTATTCTACAATTTAAGATTACTCAAATTTTTTGACTTAATTCAATTTAAAACTGTCCTTGTACCGTATAGGGCCATGATGGGTGTACTGCCGTGTAATTTGCAAAGGTTGTTTAAAACTCATGAAGAGGGTTATGAATTGAGAGGCGTTAAAAACTTCATTTTTCCATTATACCGAACAACTATGAAAAGTATGTGTGTATCTGTATGTGGTATCAAACTGTGGAACAAACTTGATGTGACTTTAAAATTATGTAAAAACATTAGATCATTTAAAATGTTGTATAAACAACTTATAATTGACTCATACATAAATAGCAAGTGATAAAAATGGTAATTGGCTGCAAATGGAATATTTTGTTTTTGTTGTTTATTGGTTTTGTTTTCTTTTTCTGTAGATTCATGTGAACAATTGTTTTGTAACTGTCTTTTTATGTAGCAACTAGCAAGGTGAAGATAGAACGACCTGCATAAAGAAATTTTTTTTTTCTTTCAAATTTGTTAATGTGAGCAAATGTGATTTATTAACTGAATTGGGGCTGGACTAGATAAGCTTTTGCTTCTTCCAGTTCCCTCTCAAATGGTTTTATGTTATTGTATGTTTTGTATTGTTTCATTCAACAGCATATGTTTATCGTATTCCTCATTTAAAAAAAAAAAAAAAATTTTTTTGTATGCACCAGGAATATGGGGGAGTGCATATGCAATTTCATGTTTTCGATGGTTTGAGATAAATAAAATAAAAAAAAAAAAAAAAAAAAAAAAAAAAAAAAAAAAAAAGCAAACCAACTAAACTCTGTCTTTAGAGATTATCTTTAAACTCTTTAATAATCCCTGACATCCGAGATCTCCTAAAATTCCTCCCAAACACACCCACTGGGTGATTTAGAAGCAAGCTGTTGTAGAAGTATACAGTCAGAGCGCGCACACACACACACACACACACACACACACACACACACACACACACACACACACACACACACACACACCCACACACACACACACACACACACACACACACACCCTAATTCATGCTGACACACAGATGGCCCCAGTTCTGACCACAAATGTAGTGTAACCCCTGCTCCCTGTGGTGTGGCCAAAACTCTGGCTGCCAGTAAAAGCGAGGGATGCTTCATGGCTCAACAATTCGCTGGCTAAATGGAAAGGCTTTGCTGTGTGACCTCAAACACCACTATCCCCCTTTTTCTGTCTCTTTCTCCAGCCTTTCTCTATCTCATTTTTGTGTTTCATTTGGTCCACTTTTGATTTTGTTGCCAGTCTTCATTTAGTCTGACTTGTTTGTGTAGATTTTTCTAGCTTTTTTTTTTTTTTGATGGTGTATCCACATCTTTTGGCTGGTCGATCCACCTCTAAAGTAAATCACCTTTGAGGTGGTTAGAACAGAGGAGTTCACCAACACATGCAAGCATTTTAACAGGGACGTGTGTGCTTTTACTTTTAGTAGTATTTTCAGGTACTACGTTGATGCACATTGCCAAAAATGATGCCTCAAACCATCACTTGATATTCTACTAAACATTGGTTCTCTTTTAAAACAACTGTTTTGTTATACAAAAACACTGTTTAACCATTGCAAAGGTCACATGGCATTGAACAATAAGCAAATGATTCAACTTTATCATATTTTTAGCTATTTGTGAAAAATGACAGGTCATGGGTTTGACCTGTTTATTATGGTTTTCTGTGGGATGGAAAGATTCCCTGTTCAGAGTGCAGAGCTGTGTGACTTATTCACAAAGCATCCGCCTTCCACTCCCATAGCAATCCATGCATAAATAAAATATACATAAAGCAGTGTTGATCTAATGTAGGTTTACTGGCTGTTCAGCTCTGTGTTTTCTCATAGATCTAACCAGAAGGTAGAGAGTGAACATGTACGCTACACTTCCATTTAAACCAAACTTTACTTTTATCTTTAAATCAGGAAGTAAATGGTCTTTTTAATGTGTCATGTCTCCAACTTAAAAAAAACAACAACTATAAAACAAATATTTTCTAAAGTCACCACCAGAACGGTGGAATTTACACACACAGGTTTACTTCTTGGTTGGTTTTATATCTAAAAAGTGCAGCTTCTCCTTCAGAAGGTGGAACAGTCTTATTGGCTGCATCAAGCTTCCTCCGTGGTTCTGGATCTTTCCTTATTAATCTGGTAAAGGTAAAGCAAAACAGAAATAATCCAAATCTGATCACTCCCGGAAATATTTTTTCCCACTGAGGAAAAAGGAAGTTTTTCTTCATCTTTTCCGGAGTTCTCTGTAATTTGTCAGTCATTAAAAGTCTAAACCCGCAATCAAACATGGATATTTCTGGCATCTTCATCAGAACTTTAAGAAGAATTTTCAATTTTTAAAATTAGTTTTGCAGCATAAATATATCAGATTGTACGTTATTTTTAACAAAGCAAGAAAAAAACATGTCAACCTCTCTCTTTGGCAGCAAATATTTAAAAAAATAAAAACTCTGCATACTATTTTATCATAGGTTTTCCTTAGCTGATCTTTAAAGAAGTGATACACTCATTTTCAGTAGTCTCTAAAAGTCTCATGGTCATCATCACACAATGGTGAAATTCATCTCTGCGTTTGTCCCATCCCCATAGAGAGAGGTGAGCTGCAGCAGTGGCTGTGCTCTGGAACTATTTGGTGGTTTAACCCCCCAATCCAACCCCTTAAGCAGAGAGTCTTTGGTCTTTGGCCTAGTCTTTGGTTAAAGTCTTTGGTATGACCCAACCGGGATCCTGATCTCCCAGTCTCAGGGCGGATACTCTAGGCCACTGAGAAGGTAGAGTAGGAATGAATGCCTTGAAAGATTTACTCGAGCGAAAAAAGTGTTTTGATGGCTTTTTTCAGGAACTAACAGAATGCCACATCACAGCTAAGTTTCAGACGGCAGGATTTGGACTCTTATTTCCTGATATTTGGACATCTCTCCTCGCATTGGATAACAGCAAGATGACTCTACCACTAACACAATTTGCTCTGCAACATCGATATTTTATCTCCACAAATTAACAGGAGTTCTGCTGTGTGGTGGAGTTGCTAACTGTTAGCTTCTATTAGCCGGGGCATTCTCTGATATTTCCTAGATGCTAAACCAACAACCTTCCCCGCTGTTAGTCAAAATGGGTGAGTCCATGAATTTTAAGTGTCAGTGTGACATAGATCTGTCAGGCTTTTTAAATCCTAGAGTTTCATCGTCTATTTTCTATCAGAAGCTAATGTAGGAGATATGTGTAGGAGACTATTTTCATGTTCAACCTGCATGAAAATCTCAGAGTGACCCATTACAATCAGAAATAATCATTAAAATATGTTTTTGCAGTGAACCACACCTTTAAGTCTGTCCAACGAACCACCTCTCTTCCTTAGGAGGTCAGCATTAAAGTAAAAACAGACTAGGACAAACGTCAGCTCATGAATATGAGCAGCAAGAAGAAAAACTGCTCGTCGGTATAGTGTGGTTCAGTGGGTAAGTGAGTGTCCAAAGTTTGGTTAACAGAATGGGTTTTAGACATAGGGAAGAGCTGAGATTAAAAAATAAATATACTTTATTATTAATAATCTCAGACAAGAGAAAATACTTCCAGCAAAATACAAGATATTGATATATGAAAAGGTGCAATCTTCCTGTCACAGCATTTGCTTGGAGAAAATAATAACCTGCTTTTGTGAAATATGGCTCTGAAATTCCATACAGAGTTTCACCAAAGAACCTCAAGAGGTGCGAGCTCTTGCATAACCAGTATCGTTTCCAGTTGTCCTTTCACCTCAGAGCCGTAGAAAGTCCAGCCAGGTGGACTGTGTGGTGTGAGGCAGTAGTGTGTTCACCCACACATAAAAACACACAAAACGATTTCTTAAGTGTGAGAGGACAGGCAAGGATTAAGGTTGCAGGGTTCCTTTAAAGGGTGTCAAATAAAGAACTAAATTGGGTGTCAGAAAGTACTGAGGAGTTGAAAAAAGGTCCCTGGCTGCAGGTTGGAGTGGGTGGGTGCTTGCTTTATACTTTTCAGACAATGTCCCTTTAAAAAGCCCTGCGTCTGGAAAGCCCATTAGATGTGCATATAAAATTTCCCCCGTGATTAATAGTTGATGAGGACGGGTTGGTTGGAGGGTACTACCAACATGTGGACTCATGAGCAGCTCCTCCTCTGCTGTCTCACGTTACACTCCATAAACTCGCCACCATTTCCCACCTATATGTTTAAAAAGGAGGAGGGCTCGCTTGTCAAGAATGCCTTAGAAGAGTTGTGAAAACAGCCAGCAGAGAAAGGGAGTTGCAGATGCAGCTCTCACACTGAGCCACAAGCCGGTTAGATTTGTGAGGGAGAGGAGTGTGTGTGTGTGAGAGAGAGAGACACGAAGGGAAAGTGTGTGTTTTGATCAGAGGACGTCACTTACACTCCCACAGCGAGAAGGAAACACTCTGTCACAGGAAGGCGTCCATCCTCACACGTTCAGAGCTGTGGAAGAGTGACCAGCTCCACAGAAGTGAGTATTCCTGATGCGATGAGACCATCGATGATTCATCTGTAATCAACTCAAGTGGAAATTTCTCTCAAAGTGATAAAGATACACATTCCAGTCCTTACTTTGTGAGGAGGCTCTGAACTCTTCAAGAAGGAAATTTTTTGTAAAAAGACTGTAAAGTGTTTTGGCATCACCATGGATCAGCCAGCCAGCAGCTGCATGCGGAGCGCCCATCCCAGCAGCCCCATCTGGGGTTGCATGAGGAACCCTCACTCTGGGGTCCCAGGGGCCAATCTGCAGTCACCCTACCAGCAGGCCCCGTTCTCCCTCCACCAGAAGCCCGAGTTCCTGGCCTACACGGACTTCACCAGCTCCTGCCTGGTGCCAAGTGTGCCACACGCTGCCTATCCTCGAGATGATAGACTCTACCAGGACAGCCAGGGGGGATTCCAGAGAGCCGACTGGCAGTTCAGCCCCTGCGAGACTCGGGTGAGAGCGCCCGAGGCCTGTCCACCCATCGCCCCCGCTGTAGGAGGTTCTGGAGAGGACGGAGGTCCTGACCTGGAAGGTGTAGGGACCGAACGAGTGCCAGGAAGTGTTCCAGGATGTCTGGATGGAGAATACTCACCGCAGAGCGTGGCGTCAGTTGACTCAGACAAGAAAAGCTCCAATAAGAGGAAAAGAGATATCACAGGTGAGTCCAGATAGACGGACAGCATTTAAGCACTCTCAGTGAGGGGTTTAAGAGAAAACATGAGCATTTTAAACAAATGGAAATATAGGAAATTAAAATGGAAAAAGTCTTTTCTGCTGCAGTGATAATCATATGAATACAAATATTGGAAAGCAACAGTGAAATAATGTTATAAAACTATCAAACTTTTCTTATTTAATAAAAAATTATAATAGTTTTTAAACAAATGTGAATAGGTGAAAAAATATAACCCCACAAAACCTTTAGAGCTTTAAAATTGTGCATTTGGCTCAAGAACTACAGCTGGCAGGATGCACAGCCCTGTTGTTTCCTCGCTAAACTGGTCTTAACAGCATTTGTCTGTGTGAGAGGTGAGTAGGTGACCAGAGTGTTGTGTTCTAGCTGCTCTTTAAGCTCCAGTCGCATCCTCTTATTGTTAAAAAGCATTAGAAATAATCCATGAGGCTTTGGGTGTTTCATTGTGTCTCTGTGTCTGTTGGAAATCAAGTATTGTTTCACATTTGTGTGGCTCACAGGTGATTCTAACTATAGTTATTACAGCAAATCTGTTTAAAGCTGTCATATTCAGCAGCTTTCAGTTAAACCACTATCCACCAAATCAAGGCTCGGTTCATCCTTATTCTTGTGAATTATGTTGACATATTTCTCAATGAAAGAAGCAGAAGTTCAGAATAATCTAACCCTCTGATGTAAACTCCTGCTAATGAGAGGAAACGGATGTTCTTGATAAAACTAAATGTGGGAAAAGCTCTAATTATCTGAAACACTTAGTATATTTTTAATGTAATTGATCCTGAATAATTAATTTGTTGAGTAAATTTTCTTTTTTGACTTATGTGCAGGACCGACGAGCATCTGTAGACCAGAATTAATATTAATACAAGAAGATTTGCTGGGCGTAAACGTATTTAAAGATGTGAAAACAATCAGTGATTAGAGTCCTTTTATGTAACGCAGAGTTGGAAATAAGGGGAAATGGATATTTATTTTAAACTTGTTGAGATGACCAAACTTAAATCAAAATGACCAGTTCGTGCAACAGACACACACACACACACACACACACACACACACACACACACACACACACACACACACACACACACACACACACACACACACACACACACCTTTACCCCCACCTCCTCTTACCTTATTGTAACCTCTACTCTCTGCCCTGAAAACCTGCCAGACCACGTCTGGTAAACTCACTTTCCTTCAAGCCCACTCCTCACATTCTTATCCATTGACATTTTCCTGTCGTTAAGCCGTAACACAATCTCCCACTGAGTGCATGCAACATGTCCGACCACTACATCAGCTCTCAATTTTAGAAAACGGAGCAGTCCGCCCTCAAATTGACAAGCTGGTAAAAGAGCATATATTAGGAAAAGGCCCTGAAGGCATTCCGGGTGTACAGTCTGCATGTGCTGATATGGAACGTCAGGCTGACGCTGACAAAATCATATAATCTGATGATGACTTCAGTCTGACAGTTGCATTAGATTGTGTTTACCTGAGATCAAATCCAGCCTGTAGCTTTGTTTACTCATTATCTCAGCGTTTGGACTGAGCACAGTTTGCATTATCATCGATTTTCAAAAATGTATTTTAATGCATGCCATGGAGCATATGATTTGACATCAAATATAAATTTCATCTTAGTGAGATTTCTGGGTTTAAAAAAATGAAAGCATGTATTAACGTTGCATGAACTCTTTTCTTCCTACTGTCGCCGAGTGCTTGCTCATTCAAAATGTCAAGTTCTCCAGATTTTCCTTTATTTAAATCACCTCAGGAGATTTCTGTAGTTCAGATGTTGTTGCCCTTTAGAACATTTGCATTTTCCTCTAATAATAAGCAACAAAACCTTTTTGTAATTATTCGTTTACATACACTTTAGAAGGACAAACCCTGTGAGATGAAACTTCTCGTTTTCGTGAGGGTTCTCCTTCACACACATCAAAAAATAAATAAAATAGAAAATCAGTAGGAGAGTTAAGTAGTTGAGAAAAATTAGTCAAATATAAACTAAATAAACCAAAACCAAAGGAACATAATATAACTCACCGTTAGAATAGGGCCTATTATTTGAAGTAAAGGTAAAAATTTAGGAATGTTTAATCTTTTTAGACTTACTCTTTATTTTACATCCAGTTAAGCAGTTTTTATTTAGCATGCGTCTTGTAAACATGGCTGAATCTGCATCCATGCTTCCCACCACGGTCGAATTTAACATTTTTATAACTATTTTGAAGTGAACTTAAATGACTTACCAGTACCTTATAATGGGCTTTCTTTATTTCCCAAATGATCAAAACAAGTATTTCACACTGTTGCCTAAAGTTTGTTCTGCAAACATTTTAGTTACGGTTTCAAGCAGCCCTTACCCTTTCTTAAAACGGAAAAAAGCACCTTTTCAAGGATTTCAAACACCTCTTTCAGATCTATGCATCGGATACTTAAACATAGATGCTGAAAAAACAAGTTTTTTATTAAATGTTTTTCAAGATGAACATTACATTTGATCAACTTGGTTTAATCACGAGTATCATAAGAAAAAATGCACTGTCTGAAGTTTGTTATTGTGTCAAAAATAACTGTGGAGGTTTATTTATTAACTGATAACTGATTTAAAACTTTACTTGAACAATCTTAGATACTTTTCTAACTTCTAAACAGCCACTAATTCCCGTCAGCTTTAATTCCATTCTGACTGAGACAAAGTGCCTGAGCACAAAAGCACCAAATGCTGTTTTCTTTGGGACCCTGCTGGGCACAGAACCTCTGTCGTGCAGGTTTACGGCCTCTGACTGTGCAGGATATTTATTGGGGGCCTGGTATTTGTCCTGCCAGGTGTTCAAGTTTAACAGTAAACCTGTTGGACTCAGCTCCAAACCAGGGCTGCCGAGCCTGGGCAGTGCTGAGTAACTGAAAGCAGAGCCTCAATACTAACAGTTAAGTCACAGTGAGAAGGTTCTTCAGCATGGACACACACACAACCTCTGGCATTACGACGCAGATACAGTGGTCCGTTTTCCACTTTGACGCGCAAAAAACAACTTTTCTCACTGTGACAAATTACACCTTCCTACAGATTAAAGCAGCTGTTTTTGTCACCACCAGTGCACAAATGCCCAAAATAAAATGGTAACAACTCTGATATTCATGGTTCTCCTGATAGAAAACACAATACCAGTCAGCCAGTACAACTTCTGTCACAGAGATATCTCAGGCTTTACCCTCTGTTGGCTGTCACGTCCAGATGAGTTAATGCCAATCGGCCTTTGGTGCTTCTGTGCAAATTCCTCTGATACACACACACACACAAACACACACACACACACACACACACACACACACACACACACGAAACACTGCGACCTGGACACATCCGCACCTTTGTTCTTTTGTTGGATGCTTTAACGATGTTCCGCTGCATTCCTTTCCTAACTCAGTCCCTCTGTGGCCCGTTTGGTGGCCCCTGCCATGCACTGATTCATATTCTCTCTCTCTCACACACACTCACACTCACACACACACGCGCACACACTATGAATGATCATTCTGGTGGAGAAACAAAGGTTTACTGTAATATGGTTACACACATGGATGAATAAGCTGAAATGTGTGAAAAGGTCATCAGATGCATGTGGTGCAGGTGTACAGGCCTTCTGCCTCCATGTCCGGGTGGTCTCTTTTAAAGTGCTGGTTTTACTAGATAAGGGACCTTCTGTTAAAATGTCTTTGGTTTGAAACCAGAAAAACTTGAAAATTCGCTGCACAAAAGTGTTTACAAGCCATTTATTTATACTGAAGAAAAAAAATTCTAACCCGCCAAAATTCACTTAATTTATTGAATGCATTTATATCTCTAGATATCCAGGATTCCAGTTTTAAGGTGGATTCCAGCTGCAAGGCCAGGAAAGAGCGCACAGCATTCACCAAAGAGCAGCTGAGAGAGCTGGAGGCCGAGTTCACTCACCACAACTACCTGACCAGACTTCGTCGCTATGAGATTGCCGTCAACCTGGACCTCACAGAGAGACAGGTACACTTCAGTAATGTTTGTTGCACACCTGGATCTACCTCTTGTCACTCTTTTTAAATATTTGATTCAAGGATAGGGTCACAAGGAACAAAAACAAACTGTCGTTGATATCCAGATTTCTGTTTATAGTTGCGTTAAAAAGGGGAATAAAACAATCTAGAGTGCAAGGACCTGTACTAATCTCTCACACTAGGTTTTCTTGATAAATGCATGATCTAGTGACTAAAAATTACTCTTCCAATTTCCCAGAAGTTTAGACTGCATCATGAGTGTTAGTGAAAAACAGAAAAGCTCTGTTTAATATTATTGCATTTTCGATGGTACACATGAATGTTTAAGACTCTTACTGTGAAGGACTGAAGAAAGTTCTTTCTTTAAGACGCTCCTAAAGGAGTAAAGACTACACCTTAGACTGGTTCAAGAACAGTCCTCCTGTTGTTATTTTGTAGTTAACAAATACAATCCAAACATTTCTACTTTATCTTTGACTCATTCTCATGTACATTTTTTATTGAAAACACTAATATTGTGTTTTTCTTCCCATCTGCCCTCGTGTGTCATTTTTTTAGAATGACTCTTTACTGAATATCTATCAAACCTTCAATTATCATCTAGTGCAGGTGTTGTCAGTGAAAATTAAGGAGGCAAACCAGTAAATCCTGCATTAAAGACAAGCTGAACAACATAAAAATCCAATACTTAAAATTCCAGCCCTCCATTATGCTGCCACACTAATGCACAAGTTGCTTTTGAATTACAATGAGCGTTTTTCCACCGTCATTTTCAATCTGTGGTTGGTGCAGCTGGAATAGGGGAGAGACAATTCCAGAATCGGTAAAGTCAGGCTAACGTGTGTCGATGCTCCTGGACGGAACTCCAGTCTGCTCCTCCTAATGAGGCCACAGCGCAGTGACCACACATCCTATCGTCCGCTCCTAAATATGAATCCCAGATCCCTTAAACGCACACACACACACACACACACACACACACACACACACACACACACACACACACACACACAGCCAAGGTCCATCTTTCCTCAGAGCTCCTGTATTGACCCAACTGAGTTTTCCAGCTGTTTGCTCTGATGACTCACCGTCATCTCAGTGAGTTTTAATCAAGCAACGAGATGGAGGAGTTCTGTTGGAGAAGACTGATCTGAATCCTAAAGTCTCATTGAAGGAGGCGTTAGAGTAACTAGCCCCCTGAACTGGATGCTTTTAAAAATCCCAATTTAGTAACCAAGAAGAAATGTAGTTAAAAATAAATCATAGTTGTAAATTGAAAAATGATTCTTATCTTTAGCTTTGATATGACCATGGCGCCCCACTGAAAGGTTCAGAACAATAAAGAAAGATACATTTCAATAAAACAAATAAACACATTTAAATATGCCAAAACAATCTTACCAGACCATTTGGATTTTCTTCCACGTTTATATTTGAGTCTTACCAAATCATGCAAAACGTTTCTGCCAAATTCCAACTTAAAATACAATATTTGTCCAACACATTTTATAACAATGTTTTTCTTTCATTCGCTTTAAAGACCATAGCTGATGAACTCAGTTTTCCCTATTTTCAGCAAAATACACTGATGCTTCTCCATCTTTTTCTTCTGTTCCACAGTTTTTACCCTGATGAGTAACAAAATCATTTTAAGCACCGAAGATAATTCACAAGACTCCTTTTTCTGATTTAAATCGAATAATTTCGAGATTTTGCTTCTTGTAGCTGTAATTTTTGGTATCTTTTGCAGCTATAATGTTAGATCCTTCTCTTTTCAGCACAGAGTGCAGATGCAGATGAGCCCTGTTCTATGTGAATACAGATACACACACACACACACACACTGCGTAGGCCGACTTCCTGGTAGCCGACTCTTCTGACCTGCTGTGCATTTGATACTCTCTGCTTGCACTGAGCACATTTTGAGCCAGATCTGTGTTCATGCTTCTTGCAAGGCCAGTGCTACGGAATTTTATTCTCTCAACTCCGAGGGGGATTATTTGTCTTTGTCTTTTATTGTTGCTGGCCAGGACAAATATGTTTTTTTTAAAAGGCCAAAAGAGGGAAAATTCACAGAAATCAGGATTCAATAACATTTGTTGTGTCTTGAGCTCTTATAAAGACCCTCAAAGCCCATGAATAGTGTTTTATTGATTTGATTAAAAATATAAAAAAAATAAAACAAATGATTCAAAAGGTAAACAGACATTGAATTTGTTAACTCCACATGTTTAATCAACATCAAATAGTAGAAAAACTTGCTCTTGAGACAAAATGTGTCCAATTTTAGTAAAGATGTATCAAAAATTGACTGATTATTGTGACATCATCCTGAAACTCAAAAATTTGATATGTTTTCTTCAATCTATAATAATGCAAGTAAAAACAGACACTGTGCAGACATATTTTACTCCCACATTCACAAAGTAATCAGATTTGTGTGTGTGTGTGTGTGTGTGTGTGTGTGTGTGTGTGTGTGTGTGTGTGTGTGTGTGTGTGTGTGTGTGTGTGTGTGTGTGTGTGTGTGTGTGTGTGTGTATTTAGTATTCTGTTAATTATTAGAGTTTTCAAGGAAATGCTGAATCAGACAAGATCGGTATCGGCAGGTCAAAACTGTACAAATCAGTATCCATCCTCAAAACCAGAATCGGTGCATTTTTACATATGGCTTCATTAAAATTAACCTGAAAAACCGGGGCTTGTGTTTTGTCTTGTTCCTGCCAGGTAAAAGTTTGGTTTCAGAACAGACGGATGAAGTGGAAGAGAGTGAAAGGAGGACAGTCGGCTTCACCCAACAACCTGGAAAATGACGACGTGGACTCGGCTGCTTCTCCCAGCTCTGAATGAGCAACAATCTAAGCTTCAGCTGGCCGACTGGACATCCACACAACCTTTGTTTAATTTTGTGAAAACTTGGCTGAAGGAAGCTGTAATTTTAAGACTTTTTCCCTTTAATTCCCTGAAGAAAACTCAGAACTGTTTTCTGTTGTAAATAGTTGATTTATGAGCAGCATTCTGACATGTTATTGATAAATACTCAGACTGAGATCCATGCTCCTTTTGTAAAATGAAACTTGAGTTGAATTAGTGGCACACAGAAGCTTTAGGGTTTGTGATGACACATCAGACTGGCATCTGGTAGAAAACATCACCTTTGGTTTCAGTTTTGCAACTGTGGCCTTTGATGCTCGACTGAAACCACCTGGGAAAATTCACACTGCACACACCCTGCCAAGTCGTAAGTGCCTCTGAGTTACGTTTCTTTTTTAAATAATACTATTGTGTCAGTGTATTTTCCATTTCACTTCTCTTTTTTATACAAATTGAATGCTTTTGATAAAACACAGATGTTGACTGTTTCTGCAAATAGAATAAACCATTTTTTTGCAAACCAGATAATGTATCTTACAATTTCTTCCACCTGCAACCTGAACAACTGGCACAGAGCATGTGTATTCTAGGCTGTGTTTGGGTGAGATATTATGTGTTACAACCACTGAAATACAGACAATGTGTTTGCTTCAGTTGCTTAAGTGAAATTAAAGGTCATTATTTGGGTCTGTTCCTTAGTTAGTATGTATGTGAACATGGTTTTGTTTATTCCACGTTTATTTTGGGGTCCAACAGATATAAGTATAAGGACACAATACCTTCAAAGACTGGACTAAACTTTGGACAGAAGCTGGTTAAATCTTTGAGCTCTGGTTAAAATGTGGGGAAAAAAGGAGAGTGAGTTATTTGAGTAGGTTTTCATGAAAGTTGAAAAGCAAGTGTGAGTCTTTCTCTTGGAGTCTTATTGTCTGATATTTGGAGATCTCACCTGTGATTGGATAACAGCAACACAACTCCACCACTGTTTGCTTTGACAGGTTGATGTTTTATCTCTACAAATAACACAAGCCTGGAGGAGTACTGCTGTGTTGGAGTATCTAATGCTAATTGTTAGCTTCTACTAGTAGAGACATGCTCTGACGATGGGTGACCAAACGTCTGTTTCTAGGCAGCGCACTGTTCCACAGAATTGTTTTTTGACTGCCGTGGTAAAATGGGGATTTCACCAAATTGTGACGTTTACCCTCTTGCTATTTAACCATTCCCCTCACCCCCATCCTAACCTTAATCCTCTTGTGCTTTCACAACTTTATTTCTAGTTCTAACGTCCCTCTCCAACACGGTTAATGGGAAGTTTAGAATGAGAAACTGGATTAAAATTAGGATGGGGGGTCAGAGGAAGGTTAACTCTCCCACTGTGGTGCTCACTCCTCACCCCAGCCACATGGACCTCAAGGGATAAACCGTCAACCCTGCTCAATGGTCAACTTTCCTGAAGACAGTGGGAGGGGTAATAGCAAGAGGTTAAAGGTTAAATGTCGGTGAAATGTGCAATTTACTGAGGGTGTCAGAAACCAATGCTCTGACCTCCTGATGTGTTGAGAATCCCAACGTGTCAGAATCAAACGCTTGGTCACCCATCGTCATTTTTCGATGCTTCAGGTGTAAGAATGTGTTGCAATATGACATGGTAAAAAGCTCTAAAAAGTGGATTTCCCATGATCTGGCCCCTTTAAAATAATGCATGCAATTGTTTTTTGATGGTACATTATAGTTTTGCCTTGCAACAAGAAGGTTGCAAGTTCAAATCCTGGCTGCAGCCTTTATTCTGTGTGGAGTTAGCATGTTCTCCCCATGTTCTCGCTCAAAGATCCATAGAGTACTATGGGTATTATGCAACCTGAAAGATGAAAATAAAAGAAAAACAATATGCCATTACAGTAATGGCTGCAAAGTTTGGTGACAAATTGTGGACAACATTCAGGAGGGAGTTTTCAGCAAGTCCTAAAACGTTCTCTCGAGTCCTCAGTTTCCTCACCTAAGTCACAGAGCCTCACTCTCATTTTGATGGAAACTTAAGCAGGTTAACCCTCTCAGGCTCAAATTAAGTTTTGGTAAAAGGATGAACAACTAAGTCCTTCAGGGGTACTTCTGAGTTAAAAAATGCTCATGAAATACATATGTGGAGTAACCAGGTAGGTAGGTAGGTATTAACGTTGTTAATCTGCAACGCCTGCCTTCAGAGGGTTCAAAGAAATTTTAAAGAAAATTCATCTACGAAAAGCCACAGAGTAGATATCAGCAACTAATTCCATTTCTGGTTCTTTTTAAAACACAAGAAAGGTTTTTCTTTGACTTGCTGACGTACCTTTCGTTTGCCGACTGCAAAACATCCTCAGAGCTAACGCTGATGGTGGCGTCACTTCCTACTCCGTTTACCCGCGGGCAGCAAAGGACGTTGTCGCCCTCTGCTGTCCGATCTCCACCTCTCCGATGATAAAGTCCTATGTGCATGTGACACGACGAGGTGGAATTGATGGTGCCACTAATATTAAAAGGATTAAAATAGGATCTAAAGCCAAGGCAAGCAGTGCAACCACAAAAGCAAATTTAAAAAAAAAAGGAATTTATTCCGAAGCTCGCGATGATGATGTCCAAAATGAAACTCCTAAATAAAGTCTGGCTCTGGGCCTCAGGGGACAAAGCAGTCCAGTCCGGCCCTGCGTGAGCTCAACAGGGAAGCCCTCTCGACCCCGCCCTCCTGCGGTACACGACGTCCTCGGGGAACCACAGGCTGAACGGCCGGTGGATCCAATCCTCCTCCGCGGCCCTTGTGGCACACAAAAAAACTCCTGCAGTTAAAGGTCACCCAGCACCAGACCATGCACAGAGAGACAGCAAACTCCAAAACACTGCCAGGCACTGCTCATTTACTTACGCGCAGGGGCAGAGTAACTCCGCCCGCCTGCCGTGTTGTGCTCCGTGCCCTGGCTTCTCCGGCCGCGGATCGTGCTCTCTGCTGCTGCTGCTGCCCGTGCCGCTGGTGAACCCCCTCCTCAGTCCAAGACTCCAACCGGACTCAGTGGCACCTGTACGTTCGCCACACGTGTGTGGAGGGAGGGACACCCACGCTCCTCCGCACTCGGCCGCCGTCCATCATCCAGGACCGTACTCTGGGTGCTCCTCTGTTCCGGCGGGGGGTTTCAGGCACACGCGTCCTCAAGACACCGTCCGGGGTGCGTCTCTGCCTCTAGCTGGCCCTGTCTGCCATCCTGGCTCTCTCTCTCTGTGTTCCCTGGTCCACGCGTTCCTCCCTTCAATTAAAAAATCCTGTCCTGCCTGCGTCTGTTCATTAATTGGCAGTCCCAGGCAACACTCTGCCACAGGTGTAGATGATCGGGGTGATTACAGAATGAACACACAATGTTGCACCAAACAACTAAAAACACACCATCAATAAAAACGTGTGCATCAGAATAAAACAAGTAAAATATGCAATATAAAATATAACATAAGTGCAACATTATCACTCTGTGACACGCAATCCAACGAGTAAACTCCATTGTCTCTGTTCATGGTCCCGCATCCGCATCTCCTTATCTCTATAGCTTCCTTTATCCATCTTTTGTATTTCTGTTGTTCAGTGTTTATGATCCTTGTGTTGTCCCAGTCCATTATATGGTTTTCTCTTGTGCAGTGATCTGTTACGGCTGACTTCTTTATTGTGCTTTCTGCTTCTTGTTTTGCTGCTCTTGTCTGTTTTCGACTTGTTTCTTTCTCTAACTCCTTTCTGTGTTCTAGAAGCAAGAGCAGCAAAAACAAGAAGCAGAAAGCACAATAAAGAAGCAGGCCGTAACAGATTGCTGTACAAGAGAAAACCATATAGTGGACTGGGACAACACAAGGATCATAAACACCGAACAACACAAATAAAAGATGGATGAAGGAAGCTATAGAGATAAGGAGACGTGGCTGTGGGACCATGAACAGAGACGATGGAGTTTACTCATTGGATCGCGCATGGGACTGCATCATCGGAGAGGGGAAATCGGGCAGCAGAGGGCGACAACGTCCTCTGCTGCCCGCAGATAAACGGAGTAGGAAGTGACGCAACCATCAGCGTCAGCTCTGAGGAAGTTTTCCAGTCGGCAAACGAAACGCACGTCAGCAGGGTAAAGAAAAACCTTTCCTGTGTTTTAAAAAGAACCAAAAATGGAATTAGAAACTTAACACAGTAATAACACACCAAAGTAGATATCAGCAACATTCATCTTTTTGCTTTCTGTAAATTGAAAGAATGAGGAAAATAAAACTTTAAAAGAGGTTGATGACTAAATAGAAAAAGCAAATGGAATGAATGAAACAAGGGGCAAATGCCTCACACTTGGAAATACATTGTGTGATTCTGACTGAATTTGGGACATTTTGTATTATTTTCTCAAACATTTATCTCCAGCTATTTGTCTGAGTTTGTGATTTCATGTGACGGCACAACTAATACTGATAGAACAGACATGTCACATGTTAACAATTGAGTCAGAAACTAATTTGAAATATATCATGCAAGCAGGCTAAAAGAAACATATCAAGGAGTAAGGTACCTTGTGAACTTTGGTTTCACGGTCACAGGTGCAGTCCTAATCTTAAGATGTTCTAAAAGCTGCAGGAAGATCCAAAATCCTGTTCAATGATAGCATAATTATCTTCATTAATTTCTCACACTGAGATCAGATGTTCTTGAGGTCAGGTCTGAATTAGTTTTCATGAACGCCCACACAGATTGTGTCAATCGCTCCATAATCCTTAAGAATGTTTTCATAGAGGTGATGGATCTCCTGTTAGCCCAAACAGATCTTCCTGATTGGTCGAAAATAAATTGGTCGGTGTGTGTGTGTGTGTGTGTGTGTGTGTGTGTGTGTGTGTGTGTGTGTGTGTGTGTGTGTGTGTGTGTGTGTGTGTGTGTTTCTCTTTTACACACCATTGCTGTAATTTCCAGCAGGCTCACAAAGGAGCATTAACCTGACTAGGTGGAGTCAGGCTCCAACAGCAAAGGCATTTGGCCCCTGCACACTATTTTTAACGGAAGCATCTGGATGGAGCCAATTTGATCTCAACCTGAGTGGAACCAAGGCACCCCTCCCACTCCCCCCAACCCCACCCCAGGACCAAAGGAAAAAAGAGCGAGAGAAAGAAGCAAGCTGGGCTGACAACTTGTGTATGATGGAAAAAGGAAATAATAGGTGGGTATGGGTGAAAAGACGACTTCTCAAGTACAGGATGTTGTTGTAGCAGGTAGCCAGTCATCCAATTTCCTGCTTCCCAAAGAAAACAAGAGCCTGAGCTGAGGAGTCCCCAGACTTACAATGGTGGGCCTATGCTCAGACTCTGGCCAGCCAAACAAAGCCTTCAGAGGTTACTGCCCTTTCTGCTGGTCTGCAGGGACTGGAGCTGAAGGGACGGGAGGGTTGTTCCACACACATGCACAGAGTTGGGGTCAAGTGTTACTGTACGCCTGACCCCTCTGGGCCCCCCGCTGCAGCTGCTGGGGGTGGAATGAGTCCAAATCA